CCGATGATCCTCATTGGTGGGTGACTCAGCAGTACGTAATCTTCCAAACTTAGTTCTGTTGTACTTTTCTCAGAAATAGTTTGTGTAAAGCTGTTCTTGAGTTTGTATTTTTTCGTCTTTGATGAAGCAGAAAATTCTGAGACGTTTCTGCCAAGGCTACACAACCAACTGGAGGCTTCTTTCATCGTTAGTGAGCAAAAAAGTGTCCTGTTCTCTAATCTGAATCCTTCTCCTGATGAGCCTTGTTCAGGAACCAAAGAGGAGTTTCTGTGCCTTCCAGGCTGCACTAATTCAACACAAACAGCCTTTAGTTGCTGCTTAAAGACCTCAGTGAGTGGCGGTCCACTTCAGACTCATATTAGCAGAGAAAAGTGCCACCATGTGGCGCCGCTCCACTCATCAAACTTTGATTATGATCTAATTTTCACCAGCTATCACACTAAGACTTCAAGTTTCCAGAAACGCACAAATAAGAGTTTCATAAATGAAGGCCGACTCAGGTACGCACAATCCAGTGTTCCTCAGAACCCGAGGAGCCGGTTCCTTTCTGCTTTTTGCACAATACATGTCAAACAGAGTCAGAAAAATCCCAGTGTCAGGTTACTGCACAGTCAGAGTTCTGATGTCCCATCAGCGTCCGACAGCCCCGTTAAGGTTAAAGCCCAGCTGACACACACAGACGCCCAGGGCAGAGCCACCATGGTGGACATCAGGGAGAAACGTCCCACACAGCGAACTGCCACAGCCAGCGCCACCGTCGTCCTGGGAACCGTAGCTTTCCGCCTTCTCCAGGACAACCAGCTGGCAAAAGGTGACGCCTTAACTGTGGCTCAGCTGGCTGGCATCATGGCATCCAAGCAGACCGCCGCCCTCATCCCGCTCTGCCACCCGCTACCACTAGACCACGCCTCCCTCAGCTTTCAGCTAGACGAGCCGCACTGCTCCGTTATCATCACTGCGACCTGTCACACTACAGGAAGGACAGGGGTGGAGATGGAGGCACTGACAGCCGCCTCGGTGGCGGCGCTCACGGTCTATGACATGTGCAAGGCTGTGAGCCATGACATCGTCATCACGGATGTGAAACTGCTCAGCAAGACGGGCGGAAAGAGAGACTATCACCGTCATGGATCAGAGAAGAACGACCTCTCCTGTTAACCACATGTTTGCCGTTAATCAGGCTTCCTGAATGTTTTTCATGACAAAATCCCAAACTTCTCCACAATAAGATGATTTTTCTGTATTTGTTCCTAAAGCATTAAAGGTATAGAGGACAATCTTTTGGATCATCTAAATAAGTGATCGTCCTAATTGTTAATCATAGGTATATGTGTGCTGAGCTACGGTTTCAGACAGTCATTGAAGCTCATCATTACTCACCGCGGTTGTTTGAAAATGGCAGAGGGTCTTAAGAGAAAAAGGGTCTACGAAGTGTATGACAAGAAGAGAAAGGCCTCAGAAGAGGCAGATATATCCTATAATGCTTTGCGCGGAGAGTTCTCCTTGCAAAGCATTATGGGATTTGCTGTCACAGCGGCCTGCATGCACGAGGAGAAATGGGCTCCCTCAGGAGCGGGTACAGGGTTGGGCATTGCAAATTTTTTATAGTGGAGAGGGTGGGTCTTTAAAAAAAAAAAAAATCACAAATCCTAGACAATACATTCCAAAAAAGTTAAGTTTCCAAGTTTGAAGACAGGAAGCTTTTTCAATTCAAATTTCATTTTTAATTGAAAAAGCTTCCTGGATGGGAAGCGAACCGTTTTCAAACTTGGAAACAAAGACTTGGAAAGTCCAATGGATTGTTTTTTTACTTTTTTGGAATGACTCTGACCTGGATGACTGAGAATCCTCACCAGCACACCTTCACAATACCTTTAACTTTGAGCCTATGGGGAATTGGGTCAATTGGGTCTTATTATCTTTATGATCTCGAAAGAATAAAAAACAAATCTGATTCTAGCTTCCGATATTTGAAGGATATAAAATATACCTTAAATTAATATGTTAATATTAATTTAAGGTATATATGTAAAGATGCTGTGGTCTTTATGATCAGCTTAGATCTTTTAGCAAACCCTGTCCAAAAGCGACTAGAGAAACCATGAATATATAAAGAATCTAAAAAACAGTTTTTAGAATTTTTAACCTTATAAAGGCAGTTTAGAATTGAAACTAGAAGTTTAAAAAAACATTTTATTCACCAATGGAAAGACAATGATTGGCTGTAGCCAATAAAGGTAGAAGTGTTTCTGTTTGATACAGATTCAGGTAAAACCACCTGATAAAATAAGTGCTATGAGCCTTTTATCTCCAGGAAAGAAAAACATTTGAAAATTCAAACATTTTTCCACAATCAGTTTTGTTCCATTATAAGCCCTTCAAACTGTTAAAATGTGGAAGTTATGTCCCCTTGAAGGCAGTTGCGCCTCGGGACTTTCCTTCCGGTTCTTTTCCTGGGGGCAAGTTATTTACTACTCTTAACTCAAACTGGGTAAAACTATATTAAAAAGGACTATAAAAAAACGGAGTAAAAAAGTAACAGAGTTTATTCCAGATCAGGTCGTTACAGGACAGAGAAAAGTACTTGGAGGTGGCACAGCTGGGGGCTCAAAAACGTCAGCGAGCGTCTGGCAAAGATTGAGCCTCGAACAAGGTAATCTTCTCCTTCTTATACCTCATGAGTCTATGTGTTGGATCATGTGGATGTTTAGCTGTCCGCATCAGAAACTGACACGCCATCCATGCCCTGACCTGTATGCCTCTATGCCGGCTCCAAGATGTGCCCATATCCTGCGTATCTTTAAAAGACGAGAAGGCTGTCCTATTTAGATGTCCTCCTTACACACAGTGACATCCACAATGTGAAGTAAGGCCTTCTATTCTCTCTAATATGGCTAACAAAGTAACAATGCACATGATGTATACAAGAATAAACCTAAAAAACTTCTCTCACCAGGTTCGCATTAAATATACTTCAACATGAAAAGCAGTGGCAGAGACAATCAGTTTTCCGAGGAGTCAGTTTATTTTAACCCTACATAGACATGGGGTGAAAAAGAAAACAAAAAAAGTTCTTGAAGTGGTAAAAAAGGGGTCAATCTTATACAAGTCTCAGAACTATCCATCAAACACAGACCACAGATCAATAATTCAGATTTTTTAATATAACATTTTGTTGTAATGCTGTGTGTACATACAAAATATACCAAACTAAATAAGGCAAATAAATAGAGGTACAATGTACAGGAACAATGGAACATTCCTCAATGTTTTCATCTTCTTTTTAATCTTATCTCACACATCAACAAAGGTGTACAAAATGCTTCTCTTTTTTTTCTAACTGTACATCTTTCAGTGAAGGATTTTTTGTGTGTGTGTTTTAATTTCCAACGGTAAAAAATACGGACTTCTCACAATTATACAAACTTGAAGAATGGGTGCAACTTTTCTCAGGCAGTACAGACTGTGGTGTAACAGGTGGGTTGCATTTAGCAAGCAATGTTCTTTTAAGAGATCAACAAATCACTTTGTGCAACCTTCTGTAGGCATGCAGATCAAATCCTTGTGCATGTAAAGACAAACATAATGGTGACAGAACCCCAAAGAACCTCGAGGCAGTTTTCTTTTTTTTAATCGTTTTTCCACATCCTGTTCCTGCCACTCAGACTTACTGTCATTTTGTTTCCGGCAGTCCAGCCAGCATCCTCATCATGACTCTCCTTATATTTCTACACGCCTTTCTGTAAGCAACACCTTTTTGCTGCATCCTTATTGTCTTAAGCGAGATCAGATCCCTCCAAACTGTTGCTGCCATTGTAAATGTCCCATCATCATTGTTTTAAAAGTGCATTGAACAAGCTACTAATTACTTTCCTCTGATTTCCATCTTTACACTTCAAAAGAGCCAGTCAATGGCCAAATAAACATCCAAAAATGTAACAAAACAAACACGTATTAATACTGACAACTTTTCACTATCTCTCAATGAATTCTCTGTAATATGGGTTAAAGCTCTGAATGAAGATGTTTAGAACGGTTTGCTGAAGTCTGGTATACTGACTGATAAACAGCAAGAGGAAGGAAAGCAGAGGTTTAAAATAAAAAAGCTCAATGATACATAAAGATGCTGGTTTAAGAAGATAATTCCTCTTTTTGGTTTTTAAGTTTCTAAATTAGTTTTTAGGGTTCTTCTCAAAAGATTGTGCCTCATTGCTCCATCTCAATTTCTCTTTAGTCTGCACTAAAAGAAACAAAACATGACTGTAAAGCTAAGGGGGATTATCTGCACATTATACAATCAGTCACAGTTAAAATAAAGGTTTTGGAGGCGATTGTTTAGTACCTGGAGTTGGCATCATATACAAATCAACTGCATCATCTTTGACCACAAGATGGCGCCAGTTCTTCTTGACCTGTAGTTATTTTGAAAGCCTTTAAAAATAAATTCTGAAAGACACAAGAACTAAAACACAGAGGAATGATTTGTGTAGAAAAAAAAAAAATCTGAGGCACTTATAGGTGAACAATTACAAATAATCAGCAGATGTGAGAATCTGGGTTAAGGTCTAAATTTAGACTTCTCTTTGTACTTTAACTCATGACTTCTCTTGGATTCCGATAAGCACGGTATGTTATGCGTCTAATATAAATATATGACAACGAATTGTTGAACATATAATTTAACCGTTGCTATGGAAACAGCTGTTTCAATTATGAAAACTAAATCAGCATGTCTTTGGCAAAGTCTTCAGCCCGTCTGAAATGAAAGGAGTTCAAATGTCTTAGTGTTGCACTCTGATTGCAGTCTCTTCAACACCTCTTAAACTGGTCCTTACTAGGGATTTACATTTAGATTAATAAATGCTACATTTGATGAGATCTAAACTGGTTTATCTCAGTCAAGGCATTTAGATCTGATTTGACAACTCACAAATATCTTCTACACCTCAACTTTCCCATTAATGACTGCTCCAGAATCACAACCTTGTTTTGTCTCCAACTCTGACAGGTTACCTTTTCTCTAGAAAATGTAAAAAACAGTTAGACCCAGAACTAATTGTTGCAACTTACATGATTCCTGCTGCTGAAAGATTGGAAAAGCTTATGCACATGAAGAAAATGTACACCTAAACTGGACTATCTTAAAAAAAGGATACTTCCTTTTACTTGGCAACCAGCTGCACAAAATAAGCAACTAAAGAATGTTTGGGTCTGGTTGGTGTCCAGTAATTCATACAGGCCCTTTTTAAGTCCTCTATACCCTAATACAACAAGAAAAGCCTCTTTGCAATGTAAAGTTTGACACGGGCATCATAAGCTATCAAAAATGTGTGCGATTCAGGGATAAAACTGCTAATAGCGTCAGATTGGAGCCTTCAGGCTACAAAAAGTGACAATACTGTAAAATGATTAAGAGTGACAATTAAGTGTTTAATGCTTCACGGCCTTCCTTCAACAGCCATTGGCTGGTGTTTATATTTGAGTGTTTGTCAAAAAGAAGCTCAGTGCAAACAAGAAACAATGGAGCGAAAAAGGACATCTACCTCACAATCGTTTAGCACTAAATGTTAAAGAAATTCACTCCAACAGCAATGCATTGTGTGTACAAAATCCCAATATGCCGAAACGTAAAAAAACACTTCTACATCTTTGCAATTAGCTTGTTGCATCTACATATAAATATATATCAATGCCTAACTGCTGAATATTTACTGTCAACACATTTACATTGGTTTTATGTCTCTACTTTGGCACTGCTTCATGCCAGAAAGGTTTTGAAACTGTTTGAAAGTGTAGTTGAGGCTTAGATCTTGTGGCAAAATCATTGTAAGGGTTTCTATTTGAGCAGTTGTTTGTTCCCTGGTTAATTTGTGGGTGGGATCTTCTTGGGGACGCTGTCCAAGGCCTCCTGTAGGAATCCATTGTTATGAAGCAGGAGATTTCTTGACTTCATACCCGTTGACTTATCATCTGAAGTTTGCGAAGACAGGTCCATTCTGTGGCTATAAAATCTTGTTTTCCTGATTGAAGAAGCACCAAGACTGAGGGCGTAATGGCTTAAATCTCCTTTATCTCTCTTTTGTATTTTGATTCAATCTGCCAAACTTCACCAGTTTCAAAACTTTCCTTTTGGCGTCTAAGTACGAGGTGACTGTAGAGAGTTCTGATCCCGGTAACCACACTTCAGCACCATAGAGCTTTTTAGATGAACAGAGAGGGTTTGAGAGGAAGAGCAGGAGTGATCAACAAGAGGAACCTGAAGCACAGTGTTAAATAGAAAGTCAAATGAAGTGGGACAATGTGTCACAGTGGTCTGTCCATCCATCCGTCCATCCAAACTGCAGGGACAGACTGGTTGGAACATCTTTAGAAGATCAATCTGAAGAGAGTGTTTTTTTTTTTGACACACCATGTCTCTACAAGTCCAGTCCAGCTGTTACTAACATCTGTTCCAATGGAAGCCATGACAGTTAGAAGATCTGGGCTAAACTTGATCTCCGCCATGGCGTATTTGAGATTTTTTGAAAGAGTTTTGCCTTTTAAATCTACTTCCATTTTCCAGCCTTAGTAGTTCACCTTGGTGACGGCTCTCTCCCGGCCACCACCTTCCACTAGCTGGTTGACGGAGCGCTTTCGGTTTCGCTTGAACTTGTTAAGGTCCTTGTCAAAGACTTCGCCGGAGCGTAATGCAGAGACAAGGTCGTCAAACTCTCCGCCAACCTCCTCCGTGGCCCCGCCCTTCTTTGCCCGCCGTTCACGCTCCCTCTGCTCCTTCAGCTGGAGAAAGATAGAAACGGTTATTGCTGAGAAAAAGCTAGAATAAATATAGTCAGCCGTAGTTTCTTAGGAGTATCTCACCATGGCCTCCATCCGTGCCCTCCTCTCTTCTTCATCCTTGCGCCGCTGCATGTTTTCCAGGTCCTGCCGAGCTTCACTAAATGACTGCAAGAAGGTATCAAAGATCCCAAAGAAATCATCGGGCTGCATCCTTCCTTCTTCTTCCCCAAAGTGCTTTAGAGATTTGGCAAACTACAAAGAAAAAAAAATATAGAGAGTGACATTAGAATAGATGCATGGGCTGTATCTTATAAAATGACCCAGTTCTTCTAGAAACAAACCAAATGGTCATGCATATGCATGCCCACTCAAATAAATTTTGCCAGTATGTGCAAATAAAAAAAAAAAATCTTAAGAGCTAAAGGAACACACACAGTGTAGCAGGGCTGCATCATTTGACCACCGTATGTCCACACAGTCACGTTCCAAGCTGTTCAGTGCTTGGTGCCAGGGCGCTGCCTGTAGCCAAGCATTCCTACACAGTCGGCTCTGTTCTGCACTACACATACATCCATAATTAGAAAGAACTTTGGTCCACTATTTTTCTGATTTATAGCTTTATAAGCCACAGAGAGAGATACATTTTTAAATACATATAAAGTAAATGCTTTCTTGATATCTTAACTACACTAAATGAGCATTTAAGAAGTTCTGGAAGTAATTTTGCCAGAAAAATCACAAAATCTCTCGTTTGTAACAGTCTCATTTTCTGTATGTGGTCTCAACACTATGTTACAAAACGCAGTTGCTCTTTCTAAAAAGGCTAAACCATCCTGTCATTATGGGCCGGGTGTCCATGACAACCCCACCATCATCCCTCCTCTATGTATGTAATTATGTATCTGGTCAAAAGTGTTTCCTCTGGTCCCCCTCGGGGTGTGAGCTAACTGGATAAACAGAAACATCCAATAAAGGAATATGATTTTCTCAGTGACGACAAAACAAAAACACAGCAAAACGTTGTCGTCCTGCACTCTTGCAGCATTGGAGACAAACTCACATTTGAGGATGTGTTAAAGTATTATAGGAAAACCCAGATGGAGAAAAAAAATATTGTTCTAACATTTGTAAAATGCTTGCATTATACTTAAAAAAAAGTTGTCTATTAAAAGTTAATTAGATCTATAAAGGTTGATCTAAACTTTCATAAAACAAACAAATTAAAGTTTGGCTTGATTTATTCTGAGTGCAAAGCAAAATATCTACGTATATTTTTAAAAGCTTAAATTTAGGTGTCTTATATAAATTTTGGGCAGATTTGCTTCTCTTTCATTCTCTTGCTTTAATAGATTAGTATCATTATTCATCTAAATAAATATTTGTTTTTAGCATGCAAACATTTTCAGAATATTTGTACATGTTATAACCTCCCTTACCCCCCAAAAAAACTATATAGATAAATATTGTTCATGTAGTTTTTTTTAAACCAAACAGCTGGCATACAGGTGAATTAAAATGATTAATAGCTGCCACAAACTTTATGTTTGAGTGACTTAGAAAAGCAGATAAACAGCGTGCTCTCTTGAGAAATTAATTAATTGTTAAGCTTCTTGTTGCTTAATTGTTAAGATATCATTAACAAATAATATTATCATATATAATAACTGCAAGGACTCTTGATCTTTAGAATTTTGCCAAAAGAAGTTTGGGAATTGGTGCCCAAATCTGGACATCTATAGGTGTATAATTTTGGCTCTTAGGTATTGTTTTCGGTTTGAATTGTTGATAATGGACTTTTGATTTTAATTTAATAAAATCTTATATTAACTTTTAAAACCTCTTAGTAATTCCATGACCCCTGGAAAAAATGGGCATCATTTCGAAGAGCAATTGCGACTAAGCTTAAATATTTTAAGTGAAGTTGACCGAGTTGATTAATAAACTATGATAAACTAGAGGAAATTGGACAACAGATCTTAAATCTGACTCTCTGATTATTATAAAGTAATAATAATAAAGAATATATTTGAGATGGACAAAACAGACAGTTGATTTTTTTTACTTGCACAGCTTTACACGGTACAATGTATACAATAAATACAAATGTAAAGAGGTAAGTATTTGAAAGACTGCATCCACTTAGACTTGACTCCTATTATTTTATTAGAAGCTGATACTTTGGTTGCTGTACTCGCCTTTGATCATGTAAACAAAAGATTAACATCAATAACCATTACATATAAGTCAACTGAGTGTAATAGAATTAGGCTATAGGTTACATAAAACATATTTCACATGGCTAACAAGTACAGCCTCTCAATCTGTAAGCTTTCCTCTAATAGTTGTAAATTTTGTGAATTAATTACCAAAATTATCAATTTTTTGGCACATCTCCCTGTAATATTTAGGCCAAACTATTAGACGCCTTAGGAACCCAACTTGCTTGGTCTTCTGGTGCTGCACTCTCCTAACTCCATGGCTCTGCTTGTTTCTTTTGCAGACTCATGCATCTGTTGCCATGGAGATTTATTAGCCTCAGCAGGCTGATCTGTTTGGCTATCCTCCGCCTTCCTAAAAACCAAACACACATCCTGACATCCATATTTGTAGAGTATTCCAGTGGAAATCCAGCCGGCCGTCAGAGGATCCTGACAAACACCCACTTACCAACCACACAGACATACACAGCTGTGTGTTTGGAGACTGGGCCGGCGAACACAGGTTCTTTTGTTTTACCACACTGACTGGTGCCCTATTCTTCCCAGTTAGTCTCCCATGACGTCCAAACTATTTTCCCTCCAATTTTCACTCCTCATTGAGCAAATAATTAACCAGAAGGGAGGCTCTACATGAAACCCCTAGGCCTGGTCTACTTTCTTTTTCTCCATCTGTCTTGCAACCTGTTGACTGTTCTGAGAAAAACAGCTGTTCAGGTCTTCAACGCTGTCATTAAATAGAGAGGATAGATGAACTACTACAATGCAAAGTCTGTGCTAAAGAAAAAGGGTGTAAGATTTAGAAGCATTGGGCTAAATGTGAACTGGCACAGCATCATCTTGCAAATTAACTATGTTCCCATAAATCTTTTCAACACAGTCTTACTCCAACATTCCCTCAGTCCCACTGACGTCTTCAGCTGACACACTTTCTACCATACACCAGCGGAGTTCAAAAGGCCAGTTGTTCCACTTGTAAATGCAAGGGGAGCGGATTTAAAAGACTAACTCAAAGACACACAGAGAGGACATAAGAGGGGGATTCCTGGCTAATCTTTCAATTTGGGTTTTCCAAGCCGGACTAAAATCGTACCACCGGATTCAGAGGGATGTCCAGAGGCTTTACGGTTCTCAGATTACACGTTTTCGCTTTATTCCTCCAGTTGTCAGACACAGGGGTGGGTGGAAGAGGATGACTAGCTTTGGATGTATAAAAGCCATCCACCTGGACGTTTAACCATACACTTGTTTCTTAAACTCAATACGCTTGGTGATGTATAATCATCCGTTTTCCACCACGCTTTATCACCTAGATGGGTCTATCTCCAGCTGTCTACGGGCGGGAAGTGGGGTACGCCCTGGACGGGTCGCCAGTCCATCGCAGGACAACACAGAGACAGACAGGACAAACAAGCATTCACGCACACATTCACACCTAATGCTGGGCATACACTGTGCAATTTTTGCCCTTTTCAGGAAGATTTTCCAGTTGTGTGAGAATTCTTCGGTCGGCCCGTCTTTCAGCCTGATCTTGCGTCGTGTACCGTGTAGTGTACAGGGGATAACGAGGGGGCGATTAGCCTCTCATGACCACCTTTCGATCAGGAAACATGAGGTCGTGGATAAATTGCTCAGTGGGCATTCGAAAACAAGGATTCTTCTTCTTCCTCTGAGATGAAAACACAGAAGCATGGCAGGGGTGCGAGTGAAACTGAGTTCTTTCTGTAAAATTTACAGACCGTAGTAGCTACTTCTCCTCAGCCATGTCTTTGTTCAAATACGTCTTCGCCTTTTCTTTTCGGGGCTTTTAGCACAAAATTGCACAAATTGCCAAGGCAGTGCGTTTCACTCTAGTGAGCTTCATATTCTTCTTCTACTCATATGGCCTCCGGATAGACGACTCCAAGTAGTACCATCTCACTGCGGAGAGCGTCGAGCCGCACAGTTTTAGAACGTGCATCATGATCTGTGAACTCACACTGTATGACGAAACCCTTTGGTTTAGTCATAAAGTGTGAGCTATAGTTGCGTGCAATGATTGAAAAAAAAAAAATCGCACAGTGTTTGCCCAGCTTTAGGAGAATTTAGAGAAGCCAATTAACCTAACAGTCATGTTTTTGGACGATGGGAGTAAGCCGGAGTACCTGGAGAAAACCCACCCATGCTCAGGGAGAGGATAGTAAACTCCATGCAGAAAGACGCCGGGCCGGGAATCGAACCCGGGACCTACTTACTGCAAGGCAAGTAGGTAGGTAAACTAAGGTTTCCAATAAACTTACATAAAAAGAGAACTGATGACATCTCTTCATGCAAGTTTGAACATAGAAAGTTGAAGGGTTACCTTTTCCTTGGCTTCACTAAGCTGATCCTCCAGTTCAGAGAAACTAAACCCAGCCACAGTGATGAAGTCACCGATCACAGCCACAAACTTGTCGCCACGTTCCCTCGTCCTGCTCTGCTGGTAGTGCAGCTCCTGGTGGGAAGCGACACGGACACAAGCTGTGAAAAATTCAGTTTGAAAGCTGCTCACTGTAAGTTCACCAAAGGCTGAAATACTTTTTTTTTTTTTAGCCTTCTGTCTGTGTGGCACAGCCCTGCTGTCGAGCTCCGAACATTACCAGCATTTAAACACCTCAGCAAGCTGTTCATCTCTGTTTCGGCTCGAAAACATAATTACAGGCAGAAGAACCAGCGGGAAGGAGAAGAAATATAATGCAACACAACTCACCGCCTCTAGAGCCTTCAGCCCGCTTTTGATGTTGTGCACTTCTTTTTCCAACTCTGACAAACTGAGGAGTGAGAAAGATTAACAAATGTTTGCTGTTATTAATCATTCACTCTATAAATCAAATCATCCTTCAGAGCACAGCTGGCTCTGTTGGTATTATTAACTACAGTGAGTTCAATCTGAATCTCAAGGTTTCTGTATGCTTACTTGACTTTGGCCGCCTCAGGCACGCTCCTGAGGTCTTCCTGGATGTACAGCGTGTCGGGGTAGTTCTTCTCGAAAATCATGATCAAGTAGTGCAACATGGTGATATTCCTGTCACATCAAACCAGTGTTTTATTACATAGAATTTTACATATTATACTTTCTCCTGTCTATAAAGATACCAATACTTTCTTACTGTCTTTTAACTCTGTACTTCAAAGACAATTAAAAACACTGCACTGAAAGCAGGTAGCCAGGAAACTTTAAGCAAGATTAATGGAAAAAAAAGTATTTTTGAGTTATGAAAAATTTATCACACCAACAATCCTGCATCAAATATATTCAATGGCTAATGTACAGTTATTCCTTATACTTTTAAAAACTCTTAAAACTTTGCTTTAAGTATCTTTTAAATAAATAGTAGAAAATGTGATTAATATTTTATAAACATGTGCAGGTTCATAGTGTCTATGTCCTGACTCACCACTCACCATGTTTAATGACGACTGTTTTCTATTATGTGCATTAATGTCTAATGTTGATGGTTTACTGGTTTACCGTAGAAGTTCTGACAGCAATCGCTACTGAACATCGCTGACGTTAACTTCTTTATGGGTACATTATTCATATATGGAAAAGTTTGCGCCTTTTTGCGTTTGATGCAAATGTTTTTCACATCTGTGTTTTTGTTTATGCATTTAGCAGATGCTTTTATCCAAAACGACTTAAATTAAAGACACAATTTTATCTTATAAATATGACAATAAGTTCCCTAGATGAAAAATCCCCAGTTAAAATCAGTGGGGAAAGCAAAGAGGGACAGAGAGGGAAGTGCAGAAAGAGAAGGTGAGAACATGATACTTTTAAGCAAGACTATATGGCACATTTAGTGATTTAGTACTTAATTTAAAAAAAAGTTGGATGTTGGGAGGACCGTCGCAACCAGCGGACCTCTGAGGCTAATTTTAGCCTGTCTACAGCAGCCCTCTCTCGGCATAGCCATGTGTGAAGAAACGCTGGCTCTGATGCAGAGTTTTTTTTATTTTATTTGGTGAAATTTTCATTTGATTTGTGTTTATCTGACTGTGTTCATTATTATTCCACCACTAAATGAACAAAGTAAGAAGTAGAGACTATTAATAACAGTAGGTGAAATGCAGCTCCAGACGAGCCGAGCATGTGGTGACGTCACAAGTCCACACTTTCCTGTGTTATCTAATCAACATACTTGTCGAGGACACAAGTCCGAACTCCGGTTCTTGTGAATTGAAAAAAAAAAACCTGGCCCGAGTAGTCTAGGGTTAAAGGAGTGCGCTGCACTGCAATCAGACCTCGACCGCACATATCTTGGTTGTGCATCAGCACACTGTGTCCTTAAACAATGTGAGGACTGAGTCTGGCTTTGTTTAGCATTTAATCCAGATCTGGATCAGACTCCAGATTTAGCATCCGTATAGAGGTTTTAGTAGCCATAGTAAATAATCTATCGTATGGAGCAAACTATGCATCTCTGATTTAAAAACTGTTGGTCTGAGAAACATGGTCTGTATATATTTTACTTTTATTTTGAACATAAATCATGTTAATCTAGTAAATAGAGCTTTCGTTGTTCCTCATTTGGTTGGATTCTTATTATTAATCTACACAGGATGTATTTCTAAAGTTTCTGAGGATTTTAGCGTGCAGGTGGCTCAATGCAGAACACAGTAACTGAGTAGCTAAAAGAAAAGCTTTAGGCCTACTACTAATTTTAATTGGTGCAAACATGTAGTATGTTTTAAGGATTAGTATAGAATGTGAAAAGGCATTTTAAATATTAACCAGCATAGTGTAATTTAAAATAATTGATAGAGTCAAATTAATATAACTGCATGCTGCATTTTAACTATGATGCGTAGGCTCTGCCAGAAAAGAATGCATCGATCTGTGAAGAATGTTGATCTGAGAAGAACATTGATTGTGCCAGACCAGCTTCAATTTCCAAAAAATAAAATACAGCGGTGACATGCTCTAAAAACCTCTTACATTTAATGCAACATTTGCTTCAAATTATCAAGACTACTTGTTTTTTTTCTGTCTGTGTATAAATTGTTGTCAGGTTACCATAGCAACACATCTCTAAATAGCAGCTAGGCCCTCAGGAAGTGACATGATAATTACAAAAATGGCATGGATCTGAATACATCAATGCTCTCAGGTATACTCATGAATATACTGTGCCCAGGGTTGTATTGTATAAAGTTTCATATGCAGGATCCAAACCTCTTTTAGTACCAGAGTGCACAGAAGAATTAGGTCAGAGAGGCAGTGGAACGCTGAGCTTCACTTCATCTCCCCGTTTCTATAAAGATGCATCCGAGTCGCTTATATCCAGGCCAATAGCTCCTGTTTCTGTGGCAACATCAACTGTACCGACAACATCTCATTGTAAAGAGAGGAGAACTCCCACATGTCTTCACTGTGCTGGAGCAGTTTTATGTTTTTCTGTCAGTTTCTTTCAAACCTCTGATGTTGTCTTTTGGGGAAAAGAATGAACGGTGGATAAATGTGTGAGCAAAGTGTGTGGAGGTGCTAGGAGAGCAGAGACACAGTATAGTTTCTAAACTGTTTAAATTTTCCAATAAAGGTTTAAAATGTTGTTTTTTAGTTATTTAAATAAGGATTTTAATGGTATACTTTTATGGGAGGCTTAAACTTCACAATTGTTCTTTAGATTTATTTTGTACTATTAGCCTGTATTTTATGTTTTGATGGTGTTCCTGATATTGTTTATTGCAAAGCATTCTTCATTAATCAGGATGGAAAAATACTAGAATAATATTTCCTGCCTTGTCCTTATTCTTGAAATTATATTGAAACTCAAGTTTAGGTCAACTGAAATGTTAATTTTTTTATTAGCGATTGAGGAAATCCTCCTCCTCCATGGCCTACCTGTCTATGCTCGACTTGGTGTCAACGATCTTGTTCAGACTGGAGACCTTGAATCCAAAGGCGTTCCCCCGCTGGCCTTTATTCATGAAGTTTCCAAAGGCCAGCACCACCTCCAGGACCTGAGTCAGACGCTTGCTCCGGACCACTTCTACAGAGGCATTGAGGATGGCTACAGGAAAACAGAAAGAGGAAAACCAGCTGCTGAGATCATAGTTTAAACTTGTTCAACTTTGGATATTACATAACAAACTGGGCTTCAATTATTCCTTCCCCTCTGTTAATTTACTCAAACACCACAGAGACACAGGAACTCCAAATTCCACCCTGTGTTCCCCCAGAATTTCCTTTATTTTAACGTCATCGACGATGAGTGATCGGTGTTCTCCGCAAAAACTGGGCGGCTTGGTGCTAAATGCATCCCATCTTTCCATCCGTCAGTAAAAACAGCAGGGGAGGAAAGGAATATACCGAACACGAGCCAACAGTGTCCGTTTTATTTCCCCTGAGGACAGACTGTCTGGCGAAGTGCAGGTGGTTCCCCATTTCCACAGAGGGAACTATGAGTGTGACTGAGAAAATCATTAGCAAACATCATATTGTTATGGTTACACTTTCTTTGTGCTGTGATTGAGCATGGGAACTGTTCGTCTGGCTCCAGCTGATGGAGCTTTCTTCTTCTGATGCTCCCATTGAGCAGGCTGGGTGGTCTGCAGACTTACAGTCTAATCTGCAGTATGTGACAAAGTTACATGAATAATAAAACCAGATTCTTTTTTACTGTGGACATCGATGGCCGGTGCGGTCAGGGGGAGTATTTTGGATCCAAAAACAGCAATTGTAGAGGTTTCTTTTTCCGCGCCAGCACAGAGCGAGATGTATGTCAGAATATATTACCCTGACCTCAGACCAGAAGGAATCGAGTTTCTGACAAGAAATGCTGCAGCACAAACAGGAATGAACTGTCAGTGCAAATAAAACTGCTGACAATAATACTGTGATGTTCTCATCAAAGCAACCCTAGCTCTGAAAGCTACAGCTCCATACTGGAAAGCTCCCCCCGACATCTTTGAAGTGAGATTCAGGGTTCACAAGATGATGCTGTCCTCTCCGAACATGAGCCAGCTTTCCAAAACAGCCTCCGTGGTAACAAGGATGCTGGCAAGGGGAGGGGAACAATGCATAAAAGCAAAATATAGCTAACCAGTATGCACTCACACATGCATATACTAACTGGACTACTTGAATGAAAAGCTCATTGCCCCATAATATACGTTCAGACTCATGATATAATTTTGAATTTTTCTTTTCTGCTCACAAGTAGCAGAAAGTTATGAAAATATATTCTGTTGGAAAGTTGGGCCACAAATGAAATGACAGCTGCATTATTTTCCACTGTAAACCCACACTGAGGTCTCATTCTAACCACCACCTTAGGAGAGTGTTCACATCCCCTTACTTGTTTAAATTCCATGAATTTACAACCGTAAAATTTATAGTAGATGAGGATCATCACCTCCAAATCCGAGGCCATAGTTCTCCACCGGAGAAAGGTGGACTCCCCTCTTCAGGTTGGTGGAGAGTCCTTGTCTCAAGTGGAGGAGTTCAAGTATCTCGGGGTCTTGTTCACGAGTGAGGGACGGATGAAGCGTAAGATTGATAGACGGATTCGTTATGCATCAGCAGTGATGTGGTCACTGTATCGGATTGTTGTAGGGAAGAGGGAGCTGAGTCTGGGTTAAAACTCGGTTTAACGATCGATCTACGCTCCCTCTACGCTCACCTATGGTCATGAGATCTGGGTAATGACAGAAAGGACAAGATCACGAATACAAGCGACCGAAATGAGCTTCCTTCAGATGGTAGCTGAGCGCACCCTTCGAGATCGGGCGAGGAGCTCAGTTACCCAGGAGGAGCTTAGAGTAGAGTCATTGCTCCTCCACATCGAAAGGAGCCAGCTGAGGTGGCTCGGGTATCTGTTTCGGATGCACCTGGTCGCCTCTCTCAGGAGGTGTTCCAGGAATGTCCCATTGGGAGGAGTCCTCGTGAAAGGCCCAGGACACGCTGGAGGGACTATGTCTCTGAGCTGGGGTCCCCCCAGAGCAGCTAAAGGAGGTGTGTGTTGATCGGGAATTCTGGGCATCTTTGCTAAGACTGCTACCTCTGGGTCCCGGATAAGTGGAAGAAAATGGATGGATTGAAATTTTTTTTAATGCAAAACTATGTATTATTAATCGGCAAGGCAGTTAACATAAAGCTGCCCTAAAAAGAATCTCTGTTAAACCTAAAATGCATTCTGTACTTCCGAGCTTCTACCATAGGCACACAGTTTATTGAAATGTTTATTGATTGTTTATGTCTCCACACAATGTTTGTTGTTTGTTTTTTAGACACACCTACATGTGAAAAAATCTGTCTGGTTTACCAGACTGTCTTGAAACAGATCAAGAAGAGCCTCTTACTGAAGACACTGTTGTTTTTTAACAATCTTCTGAAGATGATGCTCACTGTTGTCCATAATCTTCTTCACTTTATGGAGAATTCTTCTTTGTGAAATAATCTCCAGAGGTTGTAGAGGAGGACTTTTTTATTAGCGTGTCGAGGTTTTTAAGTAATTTGCTCTGATGCTGTTACCCCAGAAGATCTACAGTATAAGTCTCCAAAACATTCGTATGGAAGATGTTTAGCATCTCGCTGCAAACACTGAAGGACCTAAGCTTCCTTAGGAAGGACAATCTGCTCTGTCCTTTCTTGTAGACAGCTTCATACTTATGTCTCTAGTTAAATTTATTGTCTAGATGAACACCAAGGTATTTATAGTCCTCCACCACCTCTATTTGTTCTCCCATGATGTTAATAGGTTTCATTCAACTTGTTCCTGTTTCTTCTGAATTATACAATCATCTCCCTGTTTTGTTGACATTTAGGATCGTATGAATATTTTTGCACCATTTCACAAAGCAACTTCACCAGCTCCCTTTACTCCGCTTCTTGTTAATCTTTGATGCACCCAATGACTGGAGAGTATTCCTGCAGATGACCGCAGTCTGCATTGGACTGGAAGTCAGAGGTGTTCAGAAATTCTGGTTAAGTGTCTCCATAGATCCAGCTTAGTTGGAATTGTACAGACAGTTGCAGAGAATAGCAAGTGGCTATCCAGGCCCTATTCCTTTCTTTCTTTCCTAATGCAATGGACATCATAGAACCCTTTTTTCCCATCAGAACAGATGCTAAGGTTTTTTTTGGCATGCATTTGTATCTAGCCACTGCGTGTAATTCCATTTCTAAATAAACCCAGTTTTTTTTTTTTAGGGTTTCTTAGAGGACAATAACAGATTAACAACTTTATAAAGCAGACAGGTCAAGGATAAGGCTGTGAAGATTTTTGAGTTAGATGATACAAAAATATCCCAAGCTTTAAAAATCTCACAGAAACAGAATCACACATTAATCAAAAATAGGGAGAGTATGGCATAATGATAAACCTACTAAGACATGGCTGTTCGCCTGAACTGACAGGCTGTAGAGGGAGAATTAATCAGAGAATCAGAGACCAAAGTAACCATGACTGCAGAGATCCACGGCTCAGGTGGAATAAAATGTGATGAAGTGCAGAAATCTGACAGATTGTTAAATTATTGAGAGAAAGCCATAAGATGACCTGCTTGCTACATGTTTTATAGTGGTCACAACAAAGATGGGTGCTATAGTCAAAGGAGAACTTCTTCTTTTAAAAACAGGCCAAAAGCTATTTTTGTAAACCAAAAAAATAAAACTAACTCTGCAAAACACTCTTAACCTGCCCTCCCCACCAGTAGATAAATCTGTGGCAGCACCAGACTTGTTGACTGGGATCCGAGTTGATTATTGGTGCTCGGTTCTGCCCATTGTACCAAAAGTACGGTGATAATGCAGCCCTCCAAGTGTTGATTCCTTCCAGCTTTTCATGTAAACTGCCTCCTTAAATGATACCAGACTTAATTTATTTTAACATCTATGTGTTTGCTCTTTCTCAGCAAAGGCTTGAGATGAACCAAACCTGAAAACATAAATCACTGCTAATCGCTTTGAAATGCTGTGCTGTTTAGATTTGTATCCAAGTGGATCCTGACATTCTGCGATTTCATGCACATCTAGAAAGAACAATCTCAAGCAGTTTTTGTGCAGCTGTAGTTTGATGGTCCAGATGCTGCAGGAGTTTTCCAACAACTGCACCGCTTTGAGAAACGATGGGAAAGATCTGGCTTTAATCGGGTTTGATTGTAAAGATATCAGCAGCTCAGCAGCTGAATATTTAAAAGAATTTTAATTTGATATGTTAAAATCTTTCAACCATTTCAGCTTAGAATAAATATGAGAAACAACAATCAGCTTATTTTAGAAATATGCTCCATTCTACATGATAACCACAGAGACACTACCTTAGAGTTATGTTCAAGAACCAGTGAACTATCGTGTTTGTCCTTACCTTCAACCTTAGGCTTGGTTTCAGCTAAACGCTCTGCAAACTTCTTCTTAAAGAAAAGAGCCTGTATTCTCTGCTGGTAGTGGTCGATTCTGATGAGGAGAACAAAGACATGAGAGGAGGAGACAAACAGAATAAAACGGGTCAGTTACATTTGTCTTTAGGGGAGCAAGACTTCAAAGGTAGGAGTCATTGGCTTGTGCAAAAGCCCCTTTCTCACTTTACACAGTTTACAAAAGCATGCACAGAGCTCCTGTCAAAAGGAAGAGATGACAAATGGGCCAAGGAGACTTTTAAAGAGGGACAGAACATATTAAATAGCAAAAAAAAAGAACACCTGCTGTGTTTCTCTGACCGCAGAATGCAGTCAAGGAAAAAAAAGTGGACAAGGATATAGTTCCCTGAATTATCTTCATCTTTATACCATCTAACCGCAGCTCTTCCAGGACGGGTTTGATCAATTACAAAATCTAAACATCTAAACTAAACATTAATAACTCTATTATTAAATTACTATTAAATCATGATTAAAATAGCCACAAGTAAAGCCATTTTTTAACTGTGCTTGCAAACAGGCTCCCACAGTATGATCCGTACATATTTAGACTAATCCCCCTTAAAAAAGGTTGAACAAATTTTGCTTTAGAACGGAGGTCTTCAACAAGGGGTTCGAGAACCCTAGGGGGTCCATGGAGGTCCTGCATGGGGGGTCGCAAAAGTTTTGGTTTAGACTTTAGTTTAGACTCCAATTTTTTCCATTCATTGAAATTTCTTTAAATTCACATTAACATGAATTCAACAGACTGTAGTGAACAGATAAATGGAGGCAGAAGATGTCTTTCAGTCATCAATGCACACATTCAGCGACACACAGGAGCTCTTTTAAGCTGGGCACCATTTCATTCACAACACCTGTCCCATCAACCAGGAATCTGAGTCTGAAATAATTAAATAATCTCAGGTCAAAATTACTTTCGTTACAATACTCCATCTGTACAGGTGCTGGTCATAAAATTAGAATATCATGAAAAAGTAGATTGATTTCAGTAATTCCATTTAAAAAGTGAAACTTGTATATTATATTCATACATTACATACAAACTCATATATTTCAGATGTTTATTTTGTTTAATTTTGATGATTACAAATGACAACAAATGAAAATCTCAAATTCATCATATCAGAAAATTAGAATATTGTGAAAAGGTTCAAAATTGATGGCCCCTGGTGCCACACTCTAATCAGCTAATTAACTCAAACCACCTGCAAAAGCCTTTAAATGGTCTTTCAGTCTAGTTCTATAGGCTACACAATCATGGGGAAGACTGCTGACTTGACAGTTGTCCAAAAGACGACCATCGACACCTTGCACAAGGAGGGCAAGACACAAAAGGTCATCGCTAAAGAGGCTGGCTGTTCACAGAGCTCAGTGTCCAAGCACATTAATAGAGAGGCGAAGGGAAGGAAAAGATGTGGTCGAAAAAAGTGTATAAGCAAGAGAGATAACCACACCCTGGAGAGGATTGTGAAACAAAACCCATTCAAAAATGTGGCGGAGATTCACAAAGAGTGGGCTGCAGCTGGAGTGAGTGCTTCAAGAACCACCACACACAGACGTATGAAAGACATGGGTTTCTGCTGTCGCATTCCTTGTGTCAAGCCACTCTTGAACCACAGACAGCGTCAGAAGCGTCTTGCCTGGGCTAAAGAGAAACAGGACTGGACTGCTGGTGAGTGGTCCAAAGTCATGTTCTCTGATGAAAGTAAATTTTGCATTTCCTTTGGAAATCAAGGTCCCAGAGTCTGGAGGAAAAGAAGAGAGGCACTTCATCCACGTTGCTTGAAGTCCAGTGTAAAGTTTCCACAGTCAGTGATGGTTTGGGGTGCCATGTCATCTGCTGGTGTTGGTCCATTGTGTTTTCTGAGGTCCAGGGTCAACGCAGCCACATACCAGGAAGTTTTAGAGCACTTCATGCTTCCTGCAGCTGACCAACTTTTTGGAGATGCAGATTTCATTTTCCAACAGGACTTGGCACCTGCACACAGTGCCAAAGCTACCAGTACCTGGTTGAAGGACCATGGTATCCCTGTTCTTAATTGGCCAGCAAACTCTCCTGACCTTAACCCCATAGAAAATCTATGGGGTATTGTGAAGAAGAAGATGCAATACACCAGACCCAACAATTCAGAAGAGCTAAAAGCCACTATTAGAGCAACCTGGGCTATCATAACACCTGAGCAGTGCCACAGACTGATCGACTCCATGCCACGCCGCATTGCTGCAGTAATACAGGCCAAAGGAGGCCCAACTAAATACTGAGTGCTGTACATGCTCATACTTTTCATGTTCATACTTTTCAGTTGGCCAACATTTCTATAAATCCTTTGTTTTTATTGGTCTTCAGTAATATTCTAATTTTCTGATATGATGAATTTGAGATTTTCATTTGTTGTCATTTGTAATCATCAAAATTAAACAAAATAAACATCTGAAATATATGAGTTTGTATGTAATGTATGAATATAATATACAAGTTTCACTTTTTAAATGGAATTACTGAAATCAATCTACTTTTTCATGATATTCTAATTTTATGACCAGCACCTGTAATAGAGGGACTGTAGGACCAGTTTGATATAACATTATTTCATACAACATATATAATCAGGGGATCGCCGCTCCGTCTTGCCATCAGTTTGGGGATCCTTGGCCTGGAAAACATTGAAGACCCCTGATTTAGAAGGCACCATCTAGGATTGAGCAACCACTGTGTCTTCATGAAAGCGTCATTTAAATTATTAAAGGGGGACTGGAAAATAATTTTCCGAAAGTGAAAAAAATGATGGTAGACCTTTTCAGTCTGATTGGATTCTGATTGGTTGCTTCTGTAGGTGCCAAGAACAAGGTGCCAGCTTAGAGGGGACCCTGCTTTTGATCTTCCTAGGGCATAAGACAGGCCGCTTCACTCCTGGTTTAAGTCTCTTCTTACAGTAAGAACCATCTTTTTCTTTGGCTTTTGGCACAATCTGAAAGTTTTCACTTTGTTTTATTCTGTCTGTATTTTGTATTAAATATTTTCTTAATTGCATTGTATTTTATGATTGTGTAAAGCACTTTGGTCGGTGTATAAAGTGCTTTATAAATAAAGTTGGTATGGTATGGTTTCACTCCGCCACATCAGATTTCTGCATTAATTAAAACACCAGTAGGAGCGACAGGAAGTTGGCTGAACATGGAAATCAAAGATGCCCTCTGATTAAAAAAAGCATAGAATATTTACCTGCTCATCTCAAAGAGGAAGCGGTCAGCTCGGGCCATCCTCTCCAGCTCATGTTTGTGCTCTTCTAAAAGATCTATGTCACTTTTCTCAGGGACAAATTTAAGCAGCTGAAAAAGACACAGAAACAATGTTTATTAGAAGAATCAAAGCAGAAGCCTGGACTGCAAAGTTAAAGTTAATCTCACTCAAAATCTTATGAAGACGTGAATCAGTTTCAGTGTTTTTCTTTTCTCCAATAGTGTTCAAATTTCTTTGAGAATTAATTTATTTACTTACATGTCCTCTTTGTTTTAAATTAAACCTTATTTAGTGGCATTAAATACTCTGCATCGTATCAAGCTCTCTACTTACTTTAATAAGATGATGTTTAGGTTTATGTTGTGTTGTTGAAAACTGATTAAAAAAAATTAAAATTTTTAAATTTTTCTTGTTGGAAAAAAAATAATTAATTTTATACCAGTTTGACTGTATACAAATATAACTATAAGCTAAAGAACTTTATAAAACTCAGATTTAAAATAATTGGAGAGTAATCTGTTATTACATTCTAATTTATTTATATAAAAAAAGGGATAATCCAGCTTCACGCTGTCTTTTTTTATATAAATTTGGCAAATCAAAGAACAATTTCTCCTGTTAACTCTCTATTATTTACCAAATGTATTTGGTTGTTATGGTGCCTTTCTTCATGCTGAAAGTCCTACCTGCTCCAACATGTCTTTGGCCAGCTCTTCTCTCTCATCCATTTCTAGTATCGCCCTTCTGATTTCTTCATTTGTCATTTTCAACCTGCAGGGAAGCAAAACTTGGTTTAATGACATTAAATAGAAATAGAAACATGAGTGTCCTGATACCGACACTTTGGGGAAACTTCCTCCTGCTCCCCTCCTGAGAGCCCTGCCAGCTGTTTTTAGCGGTACGCGTGCTGAGCTGCGATCAATACCAGCATTGTCAGTATATGCATCACAGCTGTATTGACCATCTGCTGACCTGCTCTGGGTCAGGCTGTAGCTGCAGGGTCATTTCTTATTGACATGAAACAGAGTGCAGGGAGCGTGCCGCTTTTTTCAGATGCACAATGGACTCAGGAAGCCTGTTTATTGATCTGCTGAGTGAGGTCAGCACTAAACTCTACAGAGGGGGCCCCAGACCGCTGTCACTTGGAGATTTAAATGGGGAACATATTGTCAAGTGGATCTTAAAAGACGGCAGTGGATTCAGCTTCGTGTTAGCGCGACCCCCTTTGAGAAAAAGGTCAACAGATGCATCTTTAATATGAGTCAGTGTTGACACTGATAGCACTTCACTGTTTAACTATTTAACAATGAACTGAATTTTATAAATTTTATCATCATCAATCACTACTTTCAGGAAAAAGAAATACTCGTGGATAAAAGCAGCTGACTTATTGTATGTTATGGCTTACACTGGAAAAATTTCTTAAATTAAGTGTATTTACCCTTAATTTGAGTAGGTAAATGAGATAGTTTGCCAATGGAATGAGTACTGTTACTCTTAAAATAAGATAATTTGATAAAATGCACTTGAAAAAAGACAATTCAATTGTGTTTTCTTATTTCAAATCTAAATAATCGTGTTTCATTGGCAAAATATCTCTTTTATCTACTCAATTCAAGAACAGATGCACTTATTTTAAGACAAAATGACTTATCTAGATTTCCATTTTCTCCAGTCTAAAGAACTGTTCATTGAATATGTGAATTATAAATTAATTTCTTTAAAATTAGCCTATTATCTAAGTACAACAAGAAAAGTCCAAGTGAAGGCTGCAGGGTTTTTTTTTCAGCGGCAGAAGATAAGATTATATCCAGTTTTTAAAAGATTATTGTGATTTTAAATTATTACAAGCAACATGAAAAAATGCAAATTTCATGATTTGGTTTTCTATTTTTATTAAAGACAAACTACCGCATTAAAAAGTTGTAATACACCAAAACAAGTGATGAAAACACTTCTCAATTTATTGGATTCCAAATAATTTCCTCATAATCAATAGAGAAGAGAATTAGGCCTTAAAAGCTTTTATTATTTAAGTTTCTTCAAGGTTTTGAATCCTTATTAATGCATTGAACCACAGCTACAAATTTTAAATTTCATCATAAAAATGCCACAAAAAAATAAGGCTAGCTTTTATTATTTCCTATTTAAAAATGAACCAAAAAGAAAACAGGAGTATCTCTCACACTTTCACTATAGAATAGAGGTTGAAGGTTCTACTACCAAAAATACAACTACAACTAACTCCTTCTAACAATTAAATATAGATAGATAAATATAGATCATATCTGCCCTGAGTTTTTCAAAGTTGTGGAATATCATACAAATCCCTAAAACGGTGGCGTCCAAATTCAGTCCTAAAGGCTCTGCTATCCGCCATGTTGAAATTGCATTTCAAGAAAGAAAAACAGCAACAGCTGATTACAAATCTATGCTAAGCCAAAAGGAACAAGTAAATAACAGCTTCCTCGAAACGTAGAGAGGTACAGTAGAAAGTCATAAGCACCCCCCTCCAAAAACAAAACAACAAAAAAAAACAAAAAAAAAATCTCTCAAGTAAAGTAAATATACTCAAAGAAAGTACTTAAGTACAGTAATCAAGTGTAGTTTACTTTCTACCTCTGGTTAAAAATAAGGACGGGACAGTGAGCTGGAACTGGTCTGATAACACCGCTGACTACAATCTGTCTCGTCTAATAACTGTGCTGTGAAGAAGATGCTTATGGATTTTTATTTGATGTGTTCCAGAGACTCTAGTATAGTTGTAACAACAGAGCCAGCCTTCCTTGTCAGCCTACTGATCTTTCCTGATCCTGAAGCCCATACAGAAGATCACTGCTAAAATAGGACCCTCCATAATAGATCTGCAGCATCTCGCTAAAAACAATAAACGTCTCAAGTTTAATCAAGAAAGACCATCTGCTTTCTGACTCCCTGTAAACGGCTTCATTACATACCAGCTGCAGTTTGTATTAGAGGTAAACCCATAGATGTGTATACTCCTCTGTCACCTCTGCTTCTACTTTAAATATTGAAAAAGTGTCGGATCTAATCCTGTTTCTCCATAAATCCAGTTATCTTATTTGTCTTGTACGGAAGAGGATTTGGGCCACTGAAAAAAAAAAAAGTTAACTGATTATTAAATTTTATTTCAGTTTAACTTGGGAAAAAAGTCATAATTCTGACTTTTTTCTCAGAATTCTGACTTTACTCTCAGAATGCTGACTTTTTTCCCAGAATTCTGACTTTAATCTCAGAATTCTGACTTTTTTCTCAGAATTCAGACTTTTTTTTCCAGAATTCTGACTGACTTCTGACAATAAAAAGAGTCAGAATTCTGAGAAAAAAGTCAGAATTCTGAGATTAAAATCAGAATTCTGAGATTAAAGTCAGAGTTCTGAGATTAAAATCAGAATTCTGACTTTTTCCCATACTATACTGAAAAAAAAAAAAAAAAAAATCAGTTAACTTTTTTTTTTTTTTTTCAGTGTCCCTAATCCTCTTCCGTAGTCTTGTGCATTTTTAAAGTTAAATTATATTTCCCACACCTTATCACAGTATCCTTCAGAAGGGTCCCCTGTTCATGTAGCTCCGCCAGCTGCTGGTCAATGACAGATTTTCTCTGAAGGATAAGATGAGCTGATATTGCTGCAGATTCTTTGGGTAGTTTCATTTTATGCCGATTTGCAGAGGATGATATTTGCATGTCCCTGTTTAATCTTACTTTTAATAACAATTGCAATCAGTTTATTGCTCATCATCTAATGTGTTGCGATACTAACAGTTCATTGTTTATTTTTGCTCCCCTGAGATTCAGCTCAGCAGGACTCCTTTAAATACTTTTAAAATAAAAACATAATTTCATAATTGAAATTTAAGATGGAAAATGTAATCATGATTTTTTTTTAATAGTTATTGAAACAAAAAATAGAAAATAATAATAACAAGAAATTACAGTAATCATGGTTAGTTTTATGCTAAGCAGCTTTTCTAACTGGACCTCTTACTTTGAAAGCAGGATGACACAGTTCTGAGCACGTCTGCCGTCGATGACTGAAAGCTCTTTGACCTTTCGTGTGCTCACATAGATGTCATCCATAGAGCCCGTCTCTTTCTGTAAAAAAAAAAAAAAAAAACAATACAAAAGGGGTCAAGTTTGCAACTTAATTTAATGAATGTTTATCATAAAATCAAAGCATAAAAATGAACACATTCTCTTTATTCCATTTTAACAACTTTAATCAGAGAACAACCCTTTCAGGGATTTAATAAGACAAAACAGAACAGCAGAGGAAAACCTTTGCATCAAGCACAGACTAGAAGAGTTTAGGCTTCGATTAAAGTTAATTACTTTTAGATACAGAGATGGCCTACATAAAGGATCAGAGGCCGTCACAATATAATACCTCATCAGAAATACTCAAAGAGCAGAACACTGTACCTAATCAGATCTGAAATAATTGCAGCACTAAATAGATTCTATGCAGGTTGTTTGGTCCTGCATATTAAATACATTCTATTTATGTCCAGCCTGGTTTCCTGCAAGCCCAAAAAATCTCTGTTTTTAAGGTTGTGAGGCATGACATGTAAAACAGATGTGTCAGTGTCTGCATCCATGTTGACCTTGGGTGTTTGGCAGCAGGACGGGTTGGCAGCAGGTTAGGGGGCAACTCCCATCCACTGAAACCATCAGAGCGAACTCTGCCACACTGAGTGGATCAAACACACTGCAGGGACTATAATGTTGAACTTTTCTAACAGTTACCAACTGACAGATGGGAATTAGCTTGTTTTTAACCTGACATTTAAAACAGAAACCCTGAAATGTGCAGCTTCCATTATAAGATTGTGAATACCACCTCTGTCAAGAAATAAGGGCAATACTGTATTCGTTTGATGTCAGAGCTAAATATGGCTACTAAAGATGGAATAAAACTATGTCCCAGCAATTATACAGATTATATAAATCAACAAAATGTTGAGTAAAATAAATAGTTTTAATAATTAAAGTAATTGAGGTTTGGTTTAATTGGTAATCTGTCAATCAGAAGGTACAATTTTAGAAATCTGTGACTACTGCCATGAGAAAGCAAAAAAAGTTTCACTGCAAGGTTATAACATATCAGGAAATAGATATAGTCTATACCTGGCTCTGTTATTTAATATCACATCCAGGGCTTAAAAATTAGTCAAGACAAAAACTAACACAGATAATTGAGTAGCCCTAAACATCACCCCTCCACCATCGTGCTTTACAGGTGGGATTATGTGTTTTTACCGATATGACATATCTTGATTTCTCCAAAACTGGTCCCTAATATTGTTAACAAATATCTCTTCTTTAGCCCTAATGGTGTTATAAAGTTTTATTCCAGAGGTGCTCAATACTTTTTAGTTGCAGCTTTGCAAAGCAGTTGAATCCTAGATCTTTTTGTTTTGCATTTTCTCACGAACAAAACAGCAGTTAAGGTTCATTTGCTGGGATTTTCTTCTCATAAAAACTTTGCTAGCTGTCTTAAATATTTTTCACATGAGAATATTCTCTCTGTTGGCTGATTCCAAACAGTTCACAAATGGTCTTATAAGCATTCATTCAAATAAAGTGTTGCAACAAATTCATTTATTTTTTTCTCTTGCCGTGGTATTTCCACTACAGCATCATTGCACTAAACAACTGTGGGAGCCCAAACTATAAAAACTCTGCTTTTATAGAGATTAACATCCTGATAATTATTAAATATTAATGTAGATTTATTAAAGAGTACATAATTACTTCAATAACATAGTTTTAAAAAACAAACTTAAGACTTTGAATCACTAAACAACATCAGAAAAACTAACTTGCTCATCATAAACGCTGTTTCCCCGGCTTGTGCAAGGCAGAATGTGAGATTATAGAAGCGCTAAAGGTGGGCAACCATTGTGGTCCAGAAGCTCAAAGATGTTTAACTCACCTGTTTGAAGGATTGGTTAGTTAGCAGGTCCTGCCCAGGCAGTCGGAGAGCGCAGAGGGACAAAAAAAGTGAGAAGACATGCAAAGATTAGCACTTAAAGCTGGACAGGCTTAAGCAAAGAGCTACAGCTAGTAAATGCAAACTACAAGCCAAAGCTGGAAAGCTTTCTTAGACAATAACAATGACCTATTGTTTCATTTGTCAAGGGCTCAAAGGATCCGCACAGGAGGCTGAAAGATTAACAAAAATAGTTTAGCTTCTTGTGTACTTAAAGACGTCATGGATGCTTTAATCCCTTTTTGTTTTGACTGCATCCCGGTCCATCTGACATGGAAAAACAGAGCCATGAAATATGACTGCTGTAGACAATACTACAGAGTGCAAATGCAAACAAAATACCATTTTGACAGACCGATTAAAAGCTCTTAAACAAGAGTATGTCATGCATAAACACTGCGTTACTGCCCAGTTGAATTTAAATTGAATTTGGCTCTTTCCAAACGGGAACTAGGCTGTCAAAGACAGGAAGATCTTGGGTTTTTATGCGACTGCATCCACTGGGATCAGCGTTTAAGCGTTGGCCAATGCCAATAAAAACCTGCACAGCACAAATAAATACCTGCAGTATATCACTGTCAGGAACGACCCCAAATGACCCATTCCTCCTTAATAAAAGCTTGCAAAGAGACACTGTGATTGTTCATGTCTGACAGCTGTAAAATACATTAACTCAACAATGGTGATGCCTCAGCAGAGATGATTTACTGCTCTTTAATGGAATCTTAAAGACCTTACTTTAAACTGTGATTATTAGAAACCAATTAGAGTAAATTAACTCTCCACTTAAACCCTTTTAAAGCTGTACAATGTATGACAAGGGTTCAGTTCATTCCCAGCAGAGAGAAGAGTAATTGCTATATGTTGTTTGACAGGCCCACAAGGTATATGGCAATTATTCTTTAGGTTATCCTGTGGTTCAGCATGATTTACTCAATGAATCTGTTTACTTTCAGTATGTCATATTTTTCATGCTTTCTTGCATCATGACTACTTGTGAGTTTAATGTTGACCCTGATTTAAGACATCAGGCAGTTCTCACACCAACGTTCTGTAGACGTCAGCAGATGTAACAAGGAGCCATTCAGCCGCTAAAAGAAGCTCATATTAACCTTGAACTGGACCAATTACTCTCAGTCATCTTCTAGGATCCTATACAAACACTTATAGTCTCAGCAAAGTGATCTCATTCAACTGATTGGATTAAATTTCACACATACTAAGCATCCAATATCATCTAAGCCAGAGTCAAATCCAAACCTGCTGTCTCTGATACGCTGAGAACATCTTCTCTATGTCCTTCAGGTCGAGAATCTTGAATGCCCTCAGGTCGTCAATTTCGTTCCAGATGGTGCCGTTGATCATATTCTGAAATAGCAGAAGGGGGTTCATGTTTAAACTGGGATTATCAAACAAACTGCCGATTGGAGTTGCAGATTGGGTAGCTAAACATTTTGTGTGCAAAAACAACAAAAACATGAAACAATTTTTATAGGAAAATCTGTTTTAATTGGTAAATGATTAATCCTTGATGTATGTTTGATATTATCATAGAGTAAATCCCCTCTTACATGCCTCTATAAAATGATTTTTAGTCACTTTCTATCCCCATACCATTTTTTTACTATTTTACAACAGTGGTGGATAAGTTTACCATTCATCAATCACTGGGATAGGTAGTTATAAATATGCTCAAATTAAAGCTTCATGTTGATACCATTGTAAATTATGATGGGAAACAGCATCAGTCTTCTTTTTATTTATTTTGGTTTTAATTCTAGTTTAAACCCATTGACTCCCATGAACCATGATATATTATGACCCCTAGATAAACTATAATAACTCTAGCCAGCCTCCCATTATTCATTTGAGTCATAGAATCACATTTCCCAGATCAGGACAAGGAGTGGAATACCAAAAAAAAATCTTTACATGTAGCAGTGAACAAAATGTACTTCTAATGCACTGCGTTAAACAGCATATTTTCATAAATTGAAAAGTTTATTAGAAAATAAGGATATTTTTATATTGTGTGGATATTTGTTTTTACTTCAAGCCGTCTTATAGCCTTCAGCTCAAACGGCTTGAAATAAGTTTTAGTAAAAGCACAGGATGGGCTTCCATTACTGTTTGAGGATTGGAAATTGGACATTTAAAGTGCTTTGATAATCAGATCTGCCCAATTTAAAGATTACAACCAACTATAATTTTGAAAATGAGTCAAAAATACAGTAAAAAGACATTTAAATAAATTTATTATATGTATAAAGCATTTCCTTCATTTGATCTTACAAAAAGTGTGTTCTTTCTAGGCATCACCGCCCCAGAGAAAAGCCATTCCACTTAATGATCTCACCTCTCCTAACTTGCTCCAGTTGAAGGACTTTAGCGGATGAGAAGGCTGAGGGATGGACTTTGACCGCATTGTGTTCATGGAGTTGAATGATGAAGGGATGGGAGGGGGTGGTGCTCCAAAAAGAGGAGGGGCCCCGGGCGGAGGAGGCGGCCCCCCTGGCGGAGGAGGTGGCGGCGGTGGAGGTGGACAGCTGAACGGCAGTGGAGGCGGTGGTGGAGGAATGCCAGCTGACATAGGTGGAGGAGGTGGAGGCATTGGTGCTCCGGGAGGCGGAGGTGGAGGCAGCATGGAGACACTGCTACCCTGCTGTGGGATCAATGGATTAAAGTTACACGTTTTGATAGAGCTCTGCATTTACATCTACTTTGTCACTTATTAAAAGGTTAAAAAAGAAGGAATTAACCTTTATTTATAAGTCATATTATTCCGATTATAAATGTTACATGATTGATAAAGTACCAATTAAACTATAACTAATTTTATAAAGTAATTATAAACAATTAACAGACTTGTTATTACATTAACAGTCAATAAATGGACTACAAGAAAGCTATATGCACACTTTGTAAATAAACAAATAACTTAGGTATCTTTCCAACCCATTAAACAAAGCACCAGAAATGCTTATTGAAAGTTTATAAAGTGCTTTCATAGACCATAGCCCTTTACCATCTATAATATATTATCTATAAAAAAAGAACTTACTATACACTAGTGTTAAATTAAGAAAGATTAACTGACAAAGCTGATGACTTTTGTTTATATTGTTGATAAACTCATCTATTTGGAGCCAATAATTGCAATAAAGTATAATATATCGAAAAGTTTTGCTTGGAAAATATAAGTTTAAACTTTTTCTTACTTCTCTAATATATAAATTATATATATATACTGTATTAAGTCATGAACTTTACTTTTATGTATTAGTTTATTTCATGCCACTTGTTGACTTCAGATAAATTTAATTCAAAGTTGTTAAAGTTACTTTACCAACATTGATTCGGACCCACAATAAAGGCATCAATATTTCTTTTTTGCACATAACGGCAGTAAAGCTGCCTATTATTTATTAAGCTACAGAGCAATATTGCCCGTTTGTTCAGGAGAATAACTCTGTAGTCCAGTAACTGGTAATCAGTGGTTTTTCCTTTAATTGACTCCAACTGATGATGGCAAAAAGCTGCTAAAAATAGACATCTATGTTTTACAGTAACAACATGGCTCACCGTTTCCTGTAACTTGAACCAGCACAATATACTAAGGCACCGTTTAAACAAAAATCACATAGAAATGAATTATTTTACTATATAAATGGGAATATTTGATTGCCATATGTGATCCTATTTAAGGTGCACACTCTACCAAATAAACTGAAGTACATCTATATATGTTTTAGCCCTTAAAAGAAAAATGTAATATATAGAGCCGGAGATCAAAGAAGCTTAAGGTCGGGAACTCTGCTATTTTTAGAAGTTCTTAGAAGGGGAGGTGAATAATTTATTGTAATGGCTGTTACATTTTCTGATGTCAAATCCCTTTTTAACACCTATTTTTTTTAACTTGGCTTTTACATCCAAATCATCAGATCTTTTTTTTTTTTTTTTTCAGATTTTTAAAAATATATTTATCTATTAGCTGTGTTGTTGGTGTTTGTGTCTAATTGGTCACTTTTACATGTTTTTGTTGTTTGTTTTCCTTTACTTTAAATGTAAGGACCTGTGTAGAACTTTTCTCACTTTGGGTGTGTAAAGTTTTTCATGAATAAAGATTGATTGAATAATTTATGCAGGAAAAGCCTTAATAGTATAATACAGGACAGAAAAAGCTCTTACTGAGATGTCATTGATGCGTGACGAGAGGTCAAGCACTTGCTCTCTCGCTGAACGCAGTTCCACACCCTCACGTTGCAGCTTGTCCTTCATCTTGTTCAGAGTCTTCATCATCTCCTCCTTCTCATGGGTCTTTGTCTCACACTCCCTCTCTTTCCTCTCCAGTTTAGCCATTAGCTCTGCATGGTCTGCAGTTCAGCAAGAGGGAAAAATGAAGCGCTCATTTAATGCAGGTTTTTGTTATTAAAAGCCATACTGGCTGGTAAGAATCTCCTCACCTTTCCTGAACTTCTCGGCCTGTTCTCGCCACAGTTTTACCTCGTTTTCATTGACCAGCCTGTGAAGCAGACGTACAGGAATAAAGTACAGCCTTGCAGAAGAATGCTCACACGTAGGGGTCAACTGCTCTCCAACCGAGTCAAGCCGGGACATTCTGAGGGAATTTAATCATTGGATTTAAAACTCATTGATCAGTGACACTAATCCTCGACTTCCCTTTTAGTGAGAGCAGTGACCAGTGTTGACTGGGCTGAAGCAGTTGGTTCATTTAAGCTCAGAGGGACAACATTAGTGCTGGGATAAACCCTGCTGGGCTGGAAGTGGTTATGATTTCTCAGGTATTAACTCTGGGACTTGGCTGAGCTTGAAAAGGTGGTTATTTAATGAAAGCAATTAGAAATGAGATTGGGAACAATTGAATAAGAAACAAATTTAAAGATTAGCAAAAGGATATTTGAATATATTTTTTTAAGATGATGAAAGATTGAAAGTGAAACCTTGAGGAGTAGTGGTAGCTTTGGCTAGAGACAAGAGAATAAACATGTTTCAGAGGCAATTGTCATACATTACAGATATAAAAAAAATAGATTAGCAAAGTCTTAAATTTTATTTTTAATATTATGTCACATTAAAAACCTAGATCTCGATGTAATTCATTGGTATTTATGTCATAAACCAAAAGATAATGGTAAATGGAAATAAAAGCAGGTTTCATTCATTTTTGGCGCCTCTTTACTCTGAAACTCTAAATAAAATTGACTGCAGCTATCGTCACAACTTACCTTCTCAGTAGACAGAAACAAACTGATGTGTTTAATGTCATAAACGCTGGAGCTATTTTGCAGAGAGAAACTAGCAATGAATTCCTAGATGTGCAGCAGGTTTTTTTGTATAAATGGAGCTTCCATACAGCCAATAAGGATGCAAAGAAACATTTAGTATTCATATGAAATATTTTGTGCTAATGCATGAAAATTAAATCCAAAATATGTAAAAACATTAAAGGAGTAGTACTTTTGCTAGGCTGTAACCACTTGAGGTGATCGAGTTACACTTTTCTTTATCAGCCGGTCAGAGGAACACCTTTGCGTAGTTGTGGAAAATGCGTGTTAATTTCATGTCCTGCACTCGTGTCCTCCTCCGTCATCACCGTAACCACGGATGATGAATGACTTCTTCTGCCAGTTGTTTTAACAGTTGCTCCGAGGCGCCCCCTCCTCCATAAGAGTCTTTCACGGCACGAGCCTTACATTTTCACCCGTTCACCATCAAGGCATCGCAATGTGGAAACCTCTGTTTATGTTCCCCTTTTCACCGGGCGCAATTTACTCTTCAAGAGTTTATGGAAACACACAATAAGACTCTGGCTGAGGCGTAAAGTGAGTGGGTAGAGTTTAACCGATGTGGTGGATGTGTGACGGGCAGGAATGGAGTTTTCTGCACGCTCCTGGAAATCATCGCACTCAAGTGATTGCAAAAACAATGGTGGTTGAATTAGTGAACAAAGCAGGAGCTGTCAGGGGCCAAAGTGAACCACGCTACATGCTTTATGGTGCTTTCACCACAGAGACTAAACACATTAATCACCGATCAGGAGCTTGGTTTAAACATAACAAAATGGAGGAGAAGGCAGATGGAGAAAACAGGAATGGAGGCTTGTCAGAAGGAGAAACTGAGATGACATTATGTACAGAACAAGGCTCTGAATGTCATCTCTTAATACTGACAACAAAACGCATTAAATCAGCTGAAAATAACATCAGGTCTGACTCTGAATTCTAAAAAACTTCCATCCTAGACATCAAGAAACATCAATGATCAACTATAAAACAATCCTGTTGAACAACAGGCACAGTAATGAATCTTAAACCATCAAGAAAATATTTTGTTTCTCCTAAATAAAAGCATGTTGCCTCCTTGTTTCTTACTCACCTTGAGAAAAATGCCTGTTTCACTGCGTCTCAACAGGGCAGAACATTTTAAAGCATTTTGTCTTTGATATACCTCTCTCAAAGTTGCCCCCCAGCCCCCTGCTGACAACTGCTGCTGTCTATATATTGCCTCAGCTTCTCTGAGAGTTCCCCGGACAGGTTTAAAAAAAAAAAATTCTCTTTTGTAATGTTTTGATCAGGTTTTATACTCAGCTGGAAGTTCTGTTGATTTGATGCGATACGTGAGAATATAAAAATAAAACTTTCAAAATGGCGAGTAGGGAATGCTAAAAATTAATTATTTACAGAGCAATGATTGGCCCAGAAACTTGAAAAGATTGCACTTCTATATTCAAAACCTTTGAAAAGTTTACTATATCTCAGTGTTGTAATGCAAAATGTAGCACGCACCATTTGGAGTATTTTTAAGCATTTATTTGATTTATGTAGCTGATCTTAGCTCACAGCTAAAGGAAACCTCTCACATGATTAAAAATACTAAGAATTTTAAAAATTGAATACAGAAGTCTCTTCTGTGTTCTTGTTTATTTCTAGACAATATTGGGAAAAGATGCTACTTGGTAACGAGTCAGTAAAAAGTAATTTACAGCCTTAACAAATGGTTACTGCTGTAGTATGTAAGCGATTTATGTAAAGCTGATTGTCAAAATTTACAGAAATAAAATGGTTTACAGGATTTTGAGACATTTTCAAAAAAAGAAAAATATCCCCATCTAAGCGTAATTTCATTCTTCATTTTACAATAACTTTCACTCTGAACCCAGAACCAATTTTTATTCATTGTTCTTGCCATGTATGGGCATCCTTATGCTTTGGCCATTCAAATAAAACTTTTATCTCTTTTTATTAATTTGACATCAAAATGGGATTCTCTTCTAAGGAGTTTTTGTTTTTACTGAGCCGTAAAGTACTAATGAAGTATGGTGTGATGAATGCTTTCACTTACATGCGAATAATGTTCTTAACACTGAAGTTGTCGAGCGGGGAGACGTCGGGATCCTCTCCTTTTTCATCTTGCAGGACGATCTGCTGAAGGATCCTGTCTAAAAGCTGCCAGTGCTGCAGACTGCAGCCTCCACGTTTATCTGAGAGCAGATAAAGAAAATCCCATTCGGTGCATATATGTGAGATTAGCTTAACCTCACAGGAAAACATGCAGCCTGTTGAGGCAATGCTATTTCAAACAGTTTTTATTCCACTCACATGGCATCTGCAGGCAATGCTGAAGGATTGAGAGAAGATGTGGGTAGGAATCTGTGTGGCTCAGTTTCTTCTTGATTAGTTCAAACATGGCGCCAGCACTCTTTGTGTCTACATGGGTCTGATAAAGAAAACAGACGGTTTTGTTTTTTTCATAGGCCTCCAACTTTGGATCAAAATGTCTCCCTATAAAAGATGGAAACCCACCATATCGAATCTTTTGGCTAGCTCAGAGTCATCCTCATTTCTCACCATCTGAAAGAAATCCAAATGCCTAAGGAAAAAAAAAGTTAAACAGTTTGAAACAGTTGGAATAGTTGGAAATGTACATATTTACTGAACCACAATTTAGATATATACCTAAAAAAAGATTTGGGTTGGTAATTTAAAAAATGTTTCTTCTTTGTTAAAAGCCATAAACCTTTTCAGATTTTTTTTTTCAATAATGCTTCTTTGAAGCCTCCCTGTTGAGTAAATAATCAATAATGATGTCAATTAAAAAAATTAATTGCATCAATATTTATTTTGTCATTCTACTTTACAACAGGCTTTATGGTTTGTGCACTGTGTACATTCAGGTAGAGCAGTTGGTCAGCTCTGTTTATGCAAAAGTTAAAGACAGTCCCTCCATTAAGGTGACAATATCAGTGGTTAGACAGAAAAACCACAGAGGCTTTAATTAAGCTGTTAAATGCACCCAATTAAAAAGGCACGTATGCATCATTTAACTCTCCAGAGCAAAGTTTACCTAAAATATAGCAAAAAAAATGTATGTACTATAAAAGAGTGATCTTATTTAATAACAATTATGTACTGAAAACCAGGAGAATGTAGTTTTTTATATTTCACATGTTTTTGTTAGAAGAGCATGTTAACATAACGTCACAATGAATATTATAGCATTTCAGTGAAAATCACCAATTTATTAATTTAGATGTCCTTTTTTGTAAATAATCCCTTTTTAAAAAAATGTGACTTCCTGTTTGCCTGGGATTTTCATATTTTACACATTGATAAGTATCGATATCAGGCATGAAATGTAAATTATACATGATGTACGAGAGCAAGTAATGAAGACGAAACATCTAAAAGAGGACTTTCTAAAAGAATAGAATGTGTATTTGTTAATATTCTTTTCAGACAGCAGCAGATTTACAGTAGAAAATCCCTCACCTGTCCAGAGTGGCGTTATCGTGCTCTCTGAGCTTATCGATGACCGGCTGAATGCCCAACATCAGGAACTCGTACCTCAGGTGAAGACGAAACTCTAGGTTGTCCTGAAAGAAGCATAAAGAACAAACTTAAACTTTAAGATTGTAGAGTTGATATTAATGAAGTAATTATTAGAATTATTTAATGACAGAAAAATAGCATAAATGTCTTAAAAGATGTTAAAACCATTTAAAAATCATGACATCAGAAGTTCGATAGGTGTCCCTATTACCCCTCACACAAAAAACGTATACATTCTTCTCTATTTTGAATTATTAAAAACATTCACCAGAGGTTAAGTTGCGAGTTCATTAATTGGTAAGAAAATAATGCAGTGTTTTAAATGAAGATTCTGTGAAATCATTGATATTTCTTCCCAAAGACTTGGGTTAGTTGTGCTATTAATCAGGGATAAAACAAACATTTCAACACATGCTGACCTCTCCCGCTCCAGCGTTGAGCACTGCGTTGATGAAGGACATGATGGCCGTCTTCAAGTTGACTTCGTCTCTGTAGCAACCAGTGCTTCTGTCCAGCTCATTCAGGAGTGTCTGGATATTCAGGACAGATTGAGAAAAAGCCACAAATCCTGTTCAGAGCTGAAACTGTCATATTACAGCTTCGATGAGCAGCAATCAAGCAAGCAAAAGAAACCACAATTCTGACAATATCAGAAAACAAGGTGACATAGGTTCACTGTTCTAAGTTCTTCTAGCCTTCATTTTTTTATTAAAGCGACACCAAACATTCTTGAGGAGCTTAATCATAACTCAGCCCAATGTTTAAAACTCTCCTATGGTCTCAGTGACTCAGATCCTTGGGTGTTAGTTAGTCTGAAGTGACATGATTCACTGCAGACCCCCCAGGGTGACGTTTAAGATGTGGTTTATTTACTCACTCCTACCACTTTACTAAAGCAGTCCAAGAATCCTGAATAGAACAGTGTGTGTGAATAAAATGAAGCCCCATAGCAGATACGCACATGTAACTAAATTCAAAATCACCTCTATCATGTTCTTAGGCTTCTTGAGATTTGGAATCAGTGTATTTATTTTGCAAGGGATCATTAAAAGAGTCACAAGCATAAGTTTGGAAAACCACTTATTTCTTTATATTTTATAGACTATAACAGGGCCTTTATTTTTTGTTATTGGTCTTAAAGGTCCCATATTATGCAAAATTGACTATAGAATCACTTTGTAACAGTCATACGTGTCTGGAAGCTTGTGTACAAGATGAATAAAAAATAATTTCCCCCAAAAATACTCCACCTGTTAGCTGTGCTCAAAAAGGTCTGTTTGAAAAGCGTTCCCCTTATGATGTCATAAGGGGGATTATGTTGACCAGAGCCACCTGTAGAAGCCCATCGGTTAAGCTACATTCTTCATCTAAAGTATTTTTAAGCGCTGTTAGCCTTTATCTTTACAAACTCTGACTGGTTGTCATGCTGGTGGGTTTTGGGGGTGTGGCCTTAGGGAGGACGGGGCATGGAAAGCCAAAACAGCTAATCCAGATGAGGGCTGAATAAGAGATTTTTAGTATATGTTTTCTGCCTAATGTTAGAGGAAATTACCTGCACAAATGAAAAAAACATGCTCAGGCGGTCTCATTGTTAATATTTCATCTTAAAATTTAGCATACTGTGGGATCTTTAATGAATGTTTCTCAGCTTTTCTAAAAGTCAATAAATAATAGCCAAAAACCAAAGAAAAAAAGTGATTACTTTCCAGCTGTGGTGGAAGGCTTTATTAGAGTATGATTGTGTTTCAGATAAAAACTTTTAGAGATGTTCAGAATTCATAAACCAGTGAGCTATCAAATAAAATGCTTATCTGATCTTTGAACTTAGGTCATGATAACTATAACCGTTGTGGTGCAGGAGTCTTTACTTAAGGAAAAGGTCTCAAACTTAACCAGACTTGTTCCAACTGTTGTCAAAAACAATGAGAAATGCAAAGCAAATTTCAAGAATGTAGTACGGCTTTACTCTCATCAGCCTGTACAACAAATTTCTGCTTACGGTAGTAATTTAGAAAAAAAAAAATAGAATTGCTGCTGTCTGTCATTCTATATTCTCGAGTTCCAAAAGAGATGAAAAAAGGCAAAAATTTTGTTAGCAGGGGCAATATTTTAAATTAGCATTAGATATGAAAAATAAAACTAAAATAATGAAAATAATATAACTCAAGTAGACTATAAACAGAGGTGGGAGATGTGGAGCCAACAACTCATCTCTATGTCGTGTATTTGTTCTGTTAAGCCAGATCAGACTGCGCAGCTCTGACCTCCAACTATAAAACGTTCCAAGAAAGTCTGACTAATAGGTAGAAAGATCATATACTAATACATATAGATACTTAATGTGATACACAATTATTGTGTTATGTTAGTGTCAGTTCAGCTTTTCACACCTGGAATCGAGTCCTCTCAGCAGCGTATTTCTGGTAATGTGCCATGGCCTGCAGCACCTTCTTGTGTCCATCAGGTACCAAGCAAACAGCTCCCAGAATCTCCAGCACTGCCACTTTGGTTTTAATGTTTTCCGTCCGCAGGCTCTGAGAGATGGTGTTGATGCTCTGAGGATGAGCCAGAACATGTGCGCGCCCCTGTGAGTTGTTCATCAGCGCCTTGATGCAGCCGATGACTGAAGTGTGGATACGGCTCTCCGACGTCTCGTAATCCATGCTGCGCATGAAATTGAGCAGGCAGGTGAGTCCGTCGAGTTCGATGAAGCGTGTGACGAACCTTAAGGAGGAGCGTAATAAAGAAAAAGTTAGGACGAATCAAGTTATGCAAGATGTAAATGATTGCTCTTCGTCATTATATTGGGGCCCTCTGTTTAGTAGCGTGAAGACAAAAGGAGTCATGACATGTTGAACATTTATTCCTCCCTATGCATGATTTGGATGCAGGACTGGAGAGCTCATTAGTTACAGATTATTGCAACGCAGATGCACAAAGGAACGTCATCAGAGATCCTTCCTCCCAGAATCTGTTAGGCTTTCAACAATTTCTTCCCCCAAGAACCTAATCAGGATTTGCATCCTGGCTTTTAATTACAGAATTTTCAGTTCCTCATATTCTGTTGTTGCTTTATATGTACAAATGTACATGCACACGCATTTTTTCTTTTTGAATATGTGTATGCTATTCTTAACATCTGCACAACAAATATTTTTCTTTCAAAGCTGAACAGTGTTTTATTTGCACCCTGTTTTTAGATTTTTATCTTTGTATTACTCTGCATGTTTATTGACTTGCCTTCCACTTTGCTGCAGGGAAAGATGGATTTTCCCATTAAGGGACACAAGTAATATTTTGTTCATACTCACTATCTTAAAGTATTATTGGTTATGGCTTTAAAATAGGGTAGGGATCACTAAGCAGGGACGTCATAAAATTTCATATGTAAACTTTGCTTTTAGCTATTCGATCTAAGATATTTTATGCAATATTGGTCTTTATTTATGTTATTTTTAAAAGCAGAAAGAAAGGAAAAAACCTACAACACAGTGGTAGAGTTCATTTCTTCCTACTATCCTGGCAACCCCCACCCCATACAGGGCAACAGAACACCTCGCCTGTTCAGCAAGAACAACAATTTCCTCTAATGACCCCCTTTCAGAGACATACACAGGTATCGTGCATTGCAGGCTTAAAAAAGAAACCAAACGAGGAACCATTCCTGAGGGGTGGACCTGTTCGACAGGTTCAATTTGCATTTTTTCTAAGCCACAACAAGGCTTTGCTTTGGTCCACTCTATAAAGCCTCAAACTCAACGCTATTTCTGCCACTTTGAATTGAAAAAGCTTCCTGGATGGGAAGCAAAACATCTTCAAACTTGGAAACAAAGTCCAGTAGATAGTTTCCTTTCTGTCATTCCAAAAAAGTTAGAAAACAGTATTTGAGAGAGGGGGGGGGACAAAGGTCACTGAGCCAGGACCCAAACCAATGACAGCTATTCTATTCTGCTGCTCAGGATTCCTTTTAAACAAGAACTGGCACTTAAGCACCCGATGCCGTCTGTCATTCCTCAATTTTACGGAATTCCTTTAAGTTACAGATTCAGAACAGATCTTCTTCATTTTCCTCAAATACACCAAGATATTTCGTTCATTCCACTTCAATAATTTCCCAGGGCCACTAATCAACACCAAAAGGCCATCCCAGCATTCCTAAAACTTTACCACCTAAAGTTCACCCAGTTCTCCGTCTCAAAGGTCCCTTTAGCTGAACTTTTGAGAAATCTGTGAGACAATGACCTTAAGGGGACAGAAGTGACAAATGGGACGTGTAAACATAGCGAGATGTCATGTTCAGTGAGCACATGGGCTGCTTTGCAAATGAGTATCCCACTCAAGATTCTTGATGGACCTCATAAATTATTTCAGACAAATGAGGGTTTGATAGAGGACAGACATGACAAGGGCTTACAGAGGGAGGAAGTGAGAGTGTTGCCTAAAGTGATTTCTTATTTTTGCCATTTGTGGCAGATTTTGTTTTTTTTTCTTATAAATGATGTGCTCATCTTCTGCTCATCTTCTTTAAATGTGTAAAAATACTAGGAAATTTTAATATTTAATTTGAATCGAGAGATCCACCTCTGCTCAAAACACAAAAAGATATTTCAAGCAGATTTCTAGATAAGAGCGCAAAACTCTGTTGAGGCACGATTTCCTCCTGATAAAAAAAAATCTATATGCATTCATGCAATCAGCTGCTACCTTTCATGTAGTGGAATCTTAGAGATCAAACATAAACATGTGCAGGATGTTAATGAGCACAAGAGCAACAACCTCTACTCTGTCTGCACCAAGGTGACGACAAATGCATCCCATGCATTAAATATGACTCAATTTAAATTCAACACAGACACTGGAAGGCTGAACGAGACAAAACTGGTCCAAGTGTAACAGTTGCACATTTGATACCTATGAGGACAGCCTGAATAACGTGCAGAAATAGCCTTTTGCCTGCTCGTGAGCTGAAGGCCCTCTCTGGAAGCGCTTTCATACTGGAGGAGAAATTAGGCTGAACACCCCTGTGATTAATGTATGGAAAGAAGAGGGTGAAAGCTGTTGTTCTTGGAGTCTGAATTCAAAAGCATGGATGGGATTCAAGGCTCTGCTTACCGCCTGCTTCGAATCACTCTGCTGAATTATATGACAATTTGCCAGAGACATACACGCCACACAAACTGTGCACCATACCCTAATGCATATGTGTGTGATGGATGCATGCAAGAAATTTGCATAACCGTGCATGCAGAGCTCGGTGCCTGAGGTTCACCTGCATCTGATCTTCTGTGATCCTTCTTTCATCAGTTAATATTCACACCCAGCTGATTGGCATAAAGGTCTAATTACATTTTGTTCCTGTTGGAAGGACTGCTGCATACTTTAAATCTCAACTCGGATCGGCTAACCGTGCATATGAACTCAGTAGACTCAGGGCTCCTGAAGGACAATCGAAGCATTTGAAACACAACATTTTTTTAGCAAAAGAAACATTTACAACTAGCCTTAGTTACATCTGGCTAAAGATAATTAAAGCTGGGTTTGCAGCAGGTATAAGTTTAGTTTTATCGTGTAATTGGATGGTTGCTGTTGATGTGAATTAGTCAGAGTCAGAGTTTGCATTGATCTTAAAGGTCCTAAAACTTTTTCATTAAAAGGATTAAATAAAAAAGTATGTAATACATCCACAGAACTTCAAGAGTGGTGATGAGCTATAACCTTGCTACAAATCCATCTTGAAAATATAATTATTAATTACATTGTATTGTACTTTATTGCATTGTCTTATGTCTATGGTCAGAATCGCCTTGCTGGGGCATTACAAACATAGCTACGCTAGAAGACTCAACTGTCAATTGCGCAATTGACTTGGTTTTAGCTAAAATAGTAACAATTTATTTTTTTAAAAAGGAGCAAAAATAAGCACATTGTGCATTTGTAGACGGGAAAGATGTCTGTGGTTTTCTTCTGACAGGATTTAGAACAAGTTTGATTTATCAGCTTACTCCGCTAGTTGTAAAAACACTCATGAAGCGGCAAACAAATCCTATTGCGATCATCCTGTCCCTGTTGGTGACCAAGTTGCCGAAACTAATAAGCTGGTTATTTCTGCTAGGAATGATGACAACGATTGGCTGAAAGCGTACTATGGAAGGCGAGTACAAACTGGCACCTCACCCAATCAGCTGGAAGTATTGCACTAAAAGTCCCTCCTTTTCACGAACAGACTCAACTATTGATATGTGTAGAACTCAATTAAGTTCTACACATATCAATCTGGCTACTGCAGAATTAGCTGTAATTGTGATGGATCCAAAATATATAAATGTTTACAGTCTGGTTAGGATACCAAAGTTGACAAGAAAGGTTTCTGCACCAATAGGAATCGTAGGTAAGTCACACGAGACAGAGTTCAGAGCAGAAAAATGTTTTTTTTTCTTAGCGTTATGTTTCTTATAGTCAAGCCAAAAAAGAAAAGGAACCAAAATGAGGGTTAAAATTGGTCAAGCTTTTAAATGTTGGCGCTCTGTGATTTTTGTATGAAAAATATGGATATATTTTTAGAATGAAACATATCTACTGTATGCATAAATAAAATATAGAATATTGTAGATTTCTTGTAAAGGCGGATATCGATTAATCTCTGCCACCTCCTTTTCTTGTGATCCTTTCATTGGAGGTTCTGTCCACAGCCACCATCATTTAGTTAGTAAGAATTACAACAACTAATAATAGCAAAAAGATTGTTATGTTTCTTTACTCTTTGGCAATATCTGTTATAATTATTTCAGTTGTTTTAATGTTACAACGTGCTGTTACACATCAGTTTTACTCTACTGTGTCGAGAAAGTTGCATTATGAAAAATAATCACATGAATACACTTCTGGTTAGAGGTTCTTACAGGAACATTTATGTCAATAAATTAGAGCAGCTTAGTGTAACAAAAAAAAGGCATAAAGTCTGCATCTGTATTTTTATGACTGGGAGTCGTGAGCAAAGTTAATAAAAATGATTTGCTCATCAGTGGTTTGCTAGACCTTTGACCTTATCTGGAAATCTGATACAGTCAGTAAGCAGAATGAAGTGGAAAAGTAATCAGAAACTCAAATTTAAATTCAGAGCTTTAGTTCAGCTAAATGCAGTGTTTGAGGTTTCCGCTAAAGAGGCAAAATTGTTCTGTTTGAACCGAGGATGACCCCGGAATGGCAGACAGTCTGCCTCGAAGCACAGCCACACACACTTATCGGAGTCCAGCCTCTCCAAATGCACAAACTTAACCAATCATGTGCTCCCTGGAGCCGTTCTCTGTGCCTCCATGTTCACGCACACACACTTATAGTCTCCCTCAAACACCCATTTGTCTAAAACCAGGGACACTCAGTCACACACAGGTCTGGTTCAACTAAAAAATAGCTAGAATGAGAACAAGAGGCCCACAGAGGCTGTCAGAGGTGCCAATTACGGCGCACTGACTGGAGGTTTTTGCAAGAACAGGACAAAAAGTCCCATAATATTAGAACACACACGTTATAATTGCAAGACCTGGTGTTGAACTGAGGGGACATAAGGGCCGAACAAAGGATAGAGCACATAAAACTGACATAAACTGACTTTGATTAAAGTCTCAGCCAAAGTACACATCTGTAACAAATGTATGTAAAATATATCAGGGCTTAGAAAAAGTGGTTCTCATGGATCTAGTTTATAGGCAAACCCTTAGGGAGCT